GTATATTATATTTTATTGTATTAGGTTTGTATATAGGTTAGATAAGTGGAACTAATGTCAATAGGTAATCCAGGTAAGTTAATGTTTTGGCCAATCAGGATATAGTACCTCAGTATTTGGCGGTAGAGAGGTGAAGTGGGTGACCTACTGGTGCACTCTAGTGGTGTTATGAGAGTTGGCATTTGTCCATTGAGATTTGTTTTACTTGATATTGAATTAGTGTGATCTTGTTGGACCTTCAGTCCTGACTTAGCCACTTCTAAACATCTTGTCGTATTATTATTGCTATCTATTTTATTTTATGTGCATATGTGGTGGTGGGAATAAGTTAGTAAACGTTCATATTTGTTTTTGACTTGTTTAGGTTTTCTCATGTTAACTTGACCTTTGTTGGTAGAACTTGGGATAAAGAATATAATAATAAATACTGATATAGTTAAAGACTAAAGTAATTTGTGTTTATGTAACGATCTATCCTAGGGTCGTAACATAAATAATGGGGGCCTGTCCGGGAGCCTCAGGAAAATTTGTCAAGTTACAGGTTGGAAACAAGCATCATCATTTTATGACATTGTTGTGTAAATGTGTTATGACTGTGACTGATATTAATTTAATGATCTGTTGTTTTGTTATTCTGATTTTGTGTATAACCCATGCACGTGTCATCATGTTTTCCATGGAAAGATTCGTTAATGATCTCTCACAAGAGACTCTTTGCCCCGATTAGTTCCGTAAACAGACAGGACTAGCATTGCTAGCTATTATGAAATTAGCATTCAAAAGGGTCAGCGTAAGTCAGCAATACAAAATGCTGTGCTTAGAGAGTTGGTGCGAGAAGAAATTATTTCCGAAGAAGCCCTTCATTTAAGTGTATATGACAATGGAACTAGTGTGGACACTGGGAGTAGTTTAGAATTACGTAAGCTGGAGATGCAACACGAGAAAAGGAGAGAACACATGAGTTAGCCATGAAAGAAAATAAGATAATGTTGTATGAGGAAAAAAGAGCACATGAGTTAGCCATGGAGGAGGAAAAGCGAAAAACCCTTCAGGTACAAAGTAGAGTAGGAGTAGCAAAGCCTAGCAACAACGACAGTGTTCAGGACTGTGATCAGTCTGTGTTTGACATCACTAAACATTTATGACTAGTACCTCAGCTTGACGAGGATGGCCCAGAAGAATTTTTCCAGCAGTTAGAGAAGGTAGCTAAATCATTCAAGTGGCCTGAAACATCCGGGGTGGCAATGATTCAATACTGTGTTTAAAGGTGCAGCTAGGTCAGTCTTTTTGTCTTTATCGGCTGAAAAATGTGAAAGTTGTGAAGAGGTTAAAGAGGTTATTTTGAAGGTTTATGAGTTGATTCCGGAACACTACAGAGTGAAATTTAGGAATGAAAGGAAACTAGTCACAGTCATATATTGAATTTATGTACAGTCTTTGTAAGATATTTGTAAGATGGATAAACAGTAGTGGGGTAAGCTCCTATGAAGAGTTGATTGAGTTGATAAAATTTTAGAGCAATTTAAGAGAGCCCTCCCACGAGACATTCAGTTATATTTGGGAGAGAGGTTACAAAAGTGCAACGAGTAGCAGCTCTGGTAGTCAGTTATGCGTTGACTCTTAAGGTTTGAAAGTCATGCAACTAGGAACAAGGGTGGTAAGCAGGATAAGTTTGAAGATTCAAAGGCATCTGCCTCAAGTAAGGTAAATGTCCGTAGTGGCTCGGAACAAACATCTCCGAGGTTTGAGAGTACGAGTCAAATGATCTGTTTCTATTGTAAACAGATAGGTCACGTTATTGCTAATTGCCCTAAGCTCAAGAAGAAAAAGGAAGACTGTTCTTTCATTCGTGCAGCAGGAGAAGTTAGACCCTAAGTCATTTAGTTTTTGCTCAAAGGAAGATTTACTTGAGCCCTTTATGTTTGATGGGACTGTCTCAAGTGAGGAGTCCAGTGATGTGATGTTCGGTACCCTGTTCGGATTCTGAGAGACACCGCTGCAAACCATAGTATTATGTTGAAAGGTGCCTTTCCCTGTGTGGAAAGTGCTTATACGGGTGAGCATGTGTTATTGGAGGGTGTCGGTGGTGTATTCACTGTTCCTTTATTTAAGATGTTCTTGAGGAGCGACATGGTTTCTCAGTGGGTGACTGTTGGTATCCAAGACTCTCTCCCTGTATCTGGTGTTACCTTCTTGCTAGCTAATGACATTGCCGGTACTCGTGTTGTCCCGGATCCTGTAGTGACCATGACTCCTACGGTGGACAATAATACTAAATTGCTTGATGATCAGTATCCTGGTTTATTCCCTACCTGTGTGTTTACCAGAAGTATATCGCTTTGAGAAGAGTAGAATACTCGTGTTGACCCTGTTCCTAATGTAGCTGACACAAGTGGTGCAATTTGTGATGTAAATGACTTTGGTATTAGGTACCTATATGTGTCGCAAGACAATTATTTTAATGGCAGTGAGTCGTATTGGACGGAAGCCAATGGCGCCAGCGGCGATAATGCCCCTGAAGTCACTGGTGACGTATTTGACAACTCACTCTCATCTAGTGTCGATTTAACTTTGAATAATAATGTAAACCCTACAGAACACGTACCCATCAATAGGAAAAGAATAATTTCTGACTAGGAAAGTGACCCAGAATTATTAGAGCTGGGTAACAGTGCTGTCAGCAAGGAGGAAGCTGCTGACTTGCCTGTTTATTACTATTCGGACTCTGGCCTCCTGATGAGGAAATTTAGACCACCCTCGGTGCCTGCTGGGGACGACTGCCATGTTAATAGGCGGAAGCTCTACTACTCCAGGGAAGCGATTGTGTGTGTTATGGAGCTACAGGAACAAGAGCAAGATTTCCTGGTGGAGGTTCCAGTTAATCTATACAATTCACACATTTTAGATGATCCCTTTTCTAAAGATTTAAATTTTTTCACAGCTACAGGTTGAAGATGTCAGGAGGATGTTACAGAAATACAAGCAACCTGTTTGGGGACGTGCCGCGGGCCTGTAACCTCATTGAACACCAGGTGACCCTTCTACCAGAGACGACCCCTATGAAGCAAGCACCCTTTAGGATCAACCTTGCCAAGAGGAAGATTCTGAGGGAGGAAGTGGACTATTAGCTTCGACACGACCTCGTCGAACCAAGCGACAGTGACTGGGCGTCACCGTGCGTGCTGGGGTAAAAACCCCTACGGCTCCTGCCGCATGTGGTCAGACTACACACGGGTAAATGATGTGACCAGGGCTGACTCCTACCCTCTTCCTCGTATAGACGACATCCTTGACAGCATTGGGCAGGCAAAGTTCATCACGAAGCTCGACCTGATGAAGGGGTATTATCAAGTGAGGCTGACGGAGGAATCCAAAAGAATTACTGCCTTCGTCACTCCTGATGGGCTTTGGCAGTATTTGTGCTTGGCAGTGACCCTGGGACATTCCAGTGGGCTATGAATGTGGTGAAGTCTGGGCTTCCTAGTGCCTGTGCCTAGTTGGAAGACCTGCTAGTGGGGATGGACGCAGAAGGGAGAGGCATGGCAGATACGTTGGACGACTCTTCCCCCGATTGCGACATGCTGTCAGGAGCTGACCAAATGTTCCTGTAAGAAAGACTGCAACCAGAGATGCAAATGCTTTCGCTCTGGACTTTCCTGCACAGCACTTTGCAACCGCATATGTGAACAGCAGTAAATGCACAAAGATGTACTGTCAGGAGAAATCACAGGAACCAGTGATAATAATGAGTACTTTTTTTTTATTAAGTCTTTTTTGTTATATTTATTTACTAAAAGTGTTATTTTATGTGGATAAAAATGTTACAATGGACTTAAAACTATAAACAATCATCTGAACATGCTTGAAAACATACATATCGATACCAAGATCACTCAGATTGACCAACTACATCAATTTCTATAAGAAAAATCTACTTTTGAAGGTCAATATGGCGGCCATCTTGAATTTTTAAATGGCCAATCAGGCAGACTTGACTAGTAACCATTAGACAATTACCATGCCAAATTTGGTGCTTGTATCACCATTTGCATGATTCTCTTGAAAAATTGCATTTAGCTGCCCCACTAGTATAGGGTTGTGATCAGAAACATATTTGCACCAGCACCAGCGATAATAACGAATCTCGATTCCAAAGGTTATTTATTTGGTAGGAGTATTATCAATTAACAGTCAGGGGGTTTGTCTCAATGTGTGATCTTCAACAAAAACAGAGTGTGATTTGAGCCTATTCCAGGCATCTTCAGTTGATAAGAGAAGCAACTGTTTGTCACGACTGGGATTCCTCGGATCTAAGCCTTTCATATACCAAACACAACATGTTTTATCGTGGATAGGCACCAATACTGGAGAGGAGTCGTTTTGGGGCGCGGGATTCATCTTGGGGGGGCTTTTTCCACGACACTGCCTCCTAATTTTGGTTCGATCTCTTTGTCTCTGCGTCTCTCAGCTTAAGCTAACAGCTTAAGCTATGCAACACTGTCCGCCCAAATTCATCGAGTCCTCGCCATTTCTTGCATTGAGCTCATTTTCTCATGCGTAACGTTGTCTATACTATCATTTCTATCATATGACTTACCACATTACAAAAGGCAGTTCATTTCTTGCACTACACTCAATAGCCACTTCGATGCAAAACAGTATATGATGAAGAAGGCCAGGAGCTTGCTTGGAGATCTTGTTGGTGTGGAATGACATTCAAGATGCATACGGATGTCTGCTCACTGGTGATCTCAGGGACAATACAGGGAAAAAAAAGAGAAATATGGCGGCACTGTGCGATGGCCACCATCTTGGAGTTGGAGGTCAATA